TCATACTTTGAAATCTGCATTGAGAGAGATTTGTAGGCCCCTGAATAAACTGACTCCAAGACAGGTAAAGAGGACTGGGAACAGATCTAGGTGGGAACAGCATATGGGCATCTCCTGGTGCTTTGACACTCGGAGATACTGCTTAGGGACCCTATGTAGGGGTGTGAGGCTTAGACATTTGCATCTATGTATAAATTCATATGGTATAACATTTATAAGGTTATTACAAATATATTGGCAAATAGGAAAAAAGACTTGTGAGGCAAATTGTTTTGAATTTCACTTCAGAATATGTGGGCCAAAGTAGCAGATGACATATCAAGGTCCTGTGGGATGATTCTCGGAGGCCTGGGTGAACACAGGGAGGCGTTTTTAAGTGAAGGTCTGTTTTACAATTACAGGGGTAGGACAGCAGAGAAACCAGACTTCGAGCTGAGATAGCAGTTTTCCCCTCCCCTCCTATTTAAGCTTTCATTGAATTTGGAAATCATATCTTTCTTTATCTGGGTCAAGGACTTAAAAAGAGAAGGCTAAGAGAGCTCAATACAAAACAGCATGTTCTGAGGTTTGCATTAATCCTCTTAAAGCACTCACACAAAGGAAGTAGGAAGGAAGAAAAAACAAAAAGAAAATGCTTTTTAACAGACAGTCATCTTGTTTCCTTTCTCCTCTTTTTTGGGGGGGTTTGTTTCTTTTTTCTTTAAACTTAGCTTCTGAACTTATTTTGAAACTATACCAGCCCCTTTTGGTAAGGAGGTAACTGGCATTAACTGCTTTCATGGTCATAGTGATTAAATTCTCCCTCCTCCCTCAGAACCAAGGCTTTTGGGGAAAATAATGAAATATTCTCAGGAGTTTGATTTCTTTCCGTTTTTTACAACCTGATAAATGTGTGATAGGTGCACTAGGCAAGCATAAATGCTTAATAATATCACAGGGCAGAAACCTTCATTTTCAGGGAAAACTTAGATAAGAATAGAGGAAAATTTCTCCATACCAGTACTCAGAGATCTAAAATTTAAACAAAATTTAAGTTAGCTTTAAAATTACATTCAATTACAAAAATTTTAAATGATAAAACCCAATGCACTAAAGTATTTGATGAATTTTTTCAACCTTGAAGATCTAGTGGCAATGTACATTTTGTAAATAACAAGACAGCCATTTTAAGAGTCAATTTCATTTCTCCCTATTGACTCAGCCATCCTATTGCTCTGAAGTTTATTTTAAGGAAATAGACTGAAAGAAGAAAAATTTCAAAATACTTGAAAATTTTATTGCGGTGTTTTCTGCAAAAAGCAACTGGAAGACACGCAAAGGTCTCCAATGAATCTGAATTTGCTTGGATTTCTTCAGTTTGAAGTTGTGGAACGTATCTCAATATACTGTTAAAATTAATACAGTATATAACCAGGAGGATTGTGGGGAAACATGAAAACGGATAGAGGCTGGGAAAGGGAAGAAATGTAATGCATTGTAATGAATGTGCAACGAAACGAAATGCTCCTCGATTAGGATGGGGTTATGTCTTGCTCGACTGAAATTAGGGAAGTAAGAAATGCACTGAGCTCGTCCGAACTGCGGAACATCACAGCGCAGCGCCACAGCACAATGCGGGGTACCTGTTATCTTTCCTCTTTATTGGGGGGTGGTGCCTGGGACCTTCAGCTCACCGCCACTGCTGCCCAGCACCACAGAGGAAAACAACAGATAATTCACAGATGGATCGGGAACTTTCCTACGAGTCCACCCCCTGCCGTGTTCATGTGAGCTTTCCTAATAAAGCGCCACAAAGTAGGTGGCTTGCGGGTGAGGAACTGGCTCCCAGGAGAAGTCTTACAGTGCCTGTCTGTGAACTGGAGACCCACGGGAGCTGCTGATGTGATTTAGTCGGAGTAGCTGCAGGTGCAAGTCTCGGTCTGAAGTCGAAGGCTCCAGAACCAGGAGCACTGATGTCACGGGGGCAGGAGAGGATGCCTGAAACACGGAGGGAACGCGTCTTCCGTTGCCTTTTTGGTCTGTTCAGGCCCTCAGCAGATTGGATGAGCCCCCTTTCACGGGCAAGGACTGCTTCCTTCACTCAGTCTCCCGGCTGGTGCGCGTCTCTTCTGGAAACATCCTCCCAGGCCCTCATAAATGATGCTTTACCCGCTCTCCACACATCCTCAGCTCAGCCCAGTTGGCATACACATTACTCATCATCCGGTCATATATGCCAGTAAGTCACAGGTATTATTGTGTGAGTACACGGAAGACGACAGAGGAAATCTAATGAAGTTGAGTAGAAACTTTACAGCACCCTTCCATGCATTGGACTCATGGATTGCAGTCAAGGCTACGTGATGAACACTGAGGTCACAGATTACAGTCACAGGTCAGATGACGTGGATGATGGACTCTTGTTCTATCTTTTTTTAAAGAAAATTACTGCTAAAGCATGAGCATTGCAGGAGTGATATTTATGTGTTGTTTTTAGTTTATTCTTGTTCTTTAGAGCTTTGGGGCAAGACAACTTTTGGATTCTTCCTTCTCCTCCTCCTGTTTTCCTAGCGTTCCTTCCCTCACTTTCTCCTTCCTTTATCACGAGTATTATACTTTTAAAAATGAGATAAAATAATGATCTCATATGCTTTCCACCTCCAGGGAATGTAGGGGAAAGTCTTCTGCCCATAGACGCAGGAACTTCTTGCTCCCACACCCTCTATCCTGGGAGGGCATGGCTTTATAAAAGAACATAGACTTTGCATATTTTGAAGTTCTGTTTATGAACTAAATCATCTAAATATCAGGAGAAACCTGAATCTCTGTGTCTTGCTAGTTTTAAAACTGAATTAATAATGAAACATGATGAGATTATTTGGGTGAGCGGAAAGCTTATTTTGGAGATTATCATGAAAGATCTAGCGCTTTACTTATGCACACAGTAGGCAATTCTGATAGTTTCTTTCACATCTTGAAATGTCACAGGTTGTGGAGCACCAGGACTTTCTAAAGCAACTCATACCCTTCCTATACTAGTTGTCTAGAGCTGCTATAAGAAAGAATCACAGACTGGGTTGCTTATACAAGAGAAATCTATTTATTCACCCTCCTGGAGGCTATAATCTGAAATCAATGTGTCATCAGCATTGATTTCTCCCAAAGCTTCTCGCCTGGGTATGTAAAGTATTTGTTTGCCTTCTTCCTATCATCTATGGGGTCATTTTTCTTTTGTCTTGTGTCTGTCTCCAAATTTCTTGATCTATGAGGATAGTAGTCCTATTGGACTAAACCACAAACTGGTTAATTCATTTTAGCTCAATTACTGTATTTCTTTAAAAATCCTAACTCCAAATGTGTTTACATTCTGAGGCTCTGTATATTTGGACTTCAGCATGTGAATTTTGAGGATAATGTGGTTTCATTCATAACCTTCTCTCCTCTTCACGTCGGGTCTCAGAGAATTTCTTTTTTTCTTTTTTTTTGATACCGGGGATTGAACTCGGGTCCTTGCTTTTGCAAGGCGGGCCACCTAACCACTGAGCTAAATCCCCGCCCCTCAGAGAATTTCAAAGGGGCAAATTTTGGTGAGATCTTTGCTAAATCCATATTGACAATAATTCACCATTCAGCATTGGTGATTGTTTTTTCACTGGCAGTAATTGCAAAAGTGCACACATTGGAAAATATACACGGAGTGTTGACATGTTTGGTAAATGTACTATTGAGTAGATTTCTTTTAATCTTACTACCAAGGTTAGAGGGTTTATTCACACATTTCTGTTGAGGGCACACCAAGTCTCAGCAATGTCCTAGTCCCTGGGGGACAAGAACACATAATAGTTGCCCTTGGAAGTTCAGAGTCAAGATGGGAAAAAGAGAGAGGGAGGTAAGGAGAGACAAACAATTCTAAAGCAACATGAAGTTGTACAAAAGAAAAACAGCAAAATATGTTACATTAAATTTATTTCATTATATTTTATTTTTTAGGGGGTACCGGGGATTGAACTCAGGTCCTTGCACTTGCAAATTTAAATAATGACTAGTGCTAAAATTAGAAATGCAACTGTGCTTAGATAAGGGTTAGGTTTTTGAAGCTGCAGTTTAGCTACCTGTAATCAGTATCTTAAAATAAAACTCACCTAGACTCCTGGCTTGCTTAGTATAAGGTCAAAAGTCAGAAATTCAGGTAACCTGGAAGTTGGAGCAATCTCCATATCTAGAAAATAAACCGATCTTCTATACTTATAGTGAGGTGATTAATACTTGTAACTTCAAGTAGGATTTACAGATTGCAAAACTTTAGATGCAAGATCTTGTCATCTTGAAGCCACAGGTCAAATACCAAAGTACTGAAATATGAAAAAATTACTGAAATACTCACTACAAAAGGTGCTGGAGATACAGGCATATGGAGGAACAGAAAGGCCAGAAGGCACTACTAATAAAGTCAACAACAACTGTTGCATCGTGCAGTACAGGCACATTGCACAGGCAGATTTGATTCTACGGACTGAGGTGGGTGGGATATGGACAAGATGAGGTACAGATGTCTCAGGTATCAGGCATCATGGGTCGCTTTTTGGAGAGCGCTGGGAGGATGAAGCCTTAACAAAGACTCAAAGGGGAGTGAGCTACGGTGAGCTCCCATAGGGTCAAAAGAGCGAATATCAACCAAACCAGGAATAAGGGTCTCTGGTGTTGACAGGGGATGAAGGAATGGGTACCTTCCCTAGCTATTATCCCCAGTGGCTTCCGTGCCAACGATGGACGAGGGTAAAGATTCAATCCTGAAAGAGTCTCTCAGATTTATCTTTTACCGGATAATGGAAAAGAGTGAGCCTGCCCATCATTTCCACCGAATCTTAGAAAGTCTGAAGCGCTGTGCGTCTCCTGGAAGCAGTGATTTGCAAAGGCTGCAACTATCCGTGAGTCATTGCTATCTGTAAAGCCGGCTGCCGCCTTCTCCAATTGGAAACGTCCTTAGGCTCACCTTTCGAAGTGATCTATTCCCGAGCGGCAGCAGAGATGCCTAGGTTGTTTTTTATTTATTTATTTTTGAACTGTTGAAGAGAAGGCTCAGGTGAGAAATCCAGTGTCTATTTTAGCGCAGGGTGGAGTAGAGGGAGGTTGGGCTGAGCTAGGCTTTGGAGCTGGTTTGCTTCGCAATTTCATTACTAAGGACATCGGATCTCATTCCTACGCAATGGTATTAACTCTGTATTTGCTCAGTCACGATATTCTGAAGCAGACCTCGTGTTTGCAAAACATTTTAAGCATCTTGGAAAACTGGCATTATTTGTGTACAAAATATTACTGCATGTGCTGTTTGCCAAATAATTCAGAGAAAGGTTTAGCTGACTTTCTTGGGTTTACTGATTTAGAAGCTTTTTTCTTCAAAGTGGAAGTAATGATTCCTCTGCTTAAATGTAGCTCTGGGCACAGTTACAAATTTTCAGCATGTTTTGGCTAGTAATACTCTACATCAGCTATGCAGCAATTTGGCATTTTTGTTGTTGATGTTTTCCCCTAATACAAAATGTTATCTATTAAATGTTTAAACATTCTTTCTGCTAGTAAAATATGGTTACCTTTAATAACATTTCTGTTCTGCAACTTAAAAGAAAATAGCTTTGCTGGTATCAAGTGGTGGGGGTGGATCCAATATTACATATTCTTCTAAATATTAGCTGAATAAAGGAAAGCAAATGGGAGCATTTTATCTTTTGACTATGCAATTTTGTACAGCTTGTTTGTACCCATCTCTGAAAATACACTGAGTTTCTTAAAAGTGTCAGTGTTAGTATAGTGTTAGTGTATATCTACCCTGTTTGTACCATCTCTGACAGTATACTAGTTTCTTAATAGAGTTACTGTATAGTTTATATGCTATATGTATATGGCAGTACGAGCTAGCAGTGATGGCGAACCTTTTTGAGTGTTCAGTGATACAAACAGCTCACTGTTTCACGCAGGCCATAGTCCACCACCACTGAGCTACAGGGTATTTCCCTCCTCTCTTTCTCCTGAAGAATTGGTTTAAAGTACCAATTATATTCTAGGCACTTACTCACATCATTCAGACAATGCCTATCTTTCTTATGAGCGATTGTTTATTTTTAAAATAGAGAAGCTCAGATTTCATGGTTTAAACACTTGTATGGAGATGATTATTATTGAATATTTGCTATGTGTTACACTCATTATATTCTAAGGAGGCAGGAATCAGATATTGATCCTAACATTTATAAACATAATGGAGACCTGTGAAAAATACCATAAATATATCCATAAAGAAATCCAGTGTTGGGGGCCGGGGATTTAGCTCAGTGGTGCCGTCGCCTGCCTTGCAGGCTCGAGGACCCGAGTTCAATCCCTGGTGCCAAACAACAACAACAACAAAAAAGAAATCCAGTGTTGGATAGATATATGTAGCAGAAACAATGCCATATAAAAGACTTATTGACTACCATATTCTAATGATGAACAAACATGAATATATTTGATAATTTATTTCAGGATGCAGGCAGTAGTTTTTGCTGATTTCCAGCTAAAATAACTTATTTTCAGCACTTGTTTGCCTCTGGATTTATGCAAGTGTCCTGAAAATATACCTCATTAAATGTTTCTCTATAAAACGTAAACTACATCACCTCAAATAACTGATTAAACTCATATCCGTTCACACCAGACAATTCTGAATACCACACTAAGCACACTAAATACAGTGCTCCTGTTCTCTGCATGTTCACATTTCTTTCACAACCCACAGGACCCCTTTAGATAAATGTTCAGGACATGAAAATGTAACCCTTCCTACATTATACTCTTGTGATAAGGTTCATACTCTTTAAAATGCATATTAAGACAGTACTAGGATGCAGGGATTTGTGTGTGTGTGTGTGTGTGTGTGTGTGTGTGTGTGTGTGTGGAGGACAACAGAAGGACTTTGACTTGAGAGAGCTTTGAGCCAAGAAGAGTGAGGACTCATACATTTTGGGAGCTGCATTGCTCAGATGTCAAAATAGTGATAGTTTTGAGACAAGAGGTGTCACAAGGCAGGATGATAATATGTCATATGGAAAGTAGTAACAGTACGACTTCAGAGCTCTGCTGGATACCGGGCTGTGCACTGTCAGTGTGAGGTAGGAGATCTTCTAATCCTCAGAAGATAGCATTCTAAGGAACAGGTGGGAGGCGTGGGGGCAGATGGGATGTGTGGTGTGAGCAGAACCAGGCAAGCTGGTACGGCTGCCACACTGTGAGGAGCGGAAAGAAGAAACGGTAGGAGAGGGCCGGGTTGAGAAGGCCGGTAAATACTTACACAGGGAATATTGTCTCCATTCTTTCAATGCTGGACAATCCTGGTAATGATTATGAGCAAGCAGGTCGGTGCAGAAAGTTAGTAATGAAAGCGAGGTTTTATTTGGCTTATTCTGTATACTAAAGAGCTTATATTAAATAACGGCTACGTCTTCATCTTTGTCATTCGAAAGATACCAATATAGCATATTTTCCAGAATACGTCCGTTGTAGCTGCTACACAGTTCTCACGATTTGTGTTTGGGGTAGTTAATATTTTGATATTTCCTTTGTCAGTTTAACACAGTGGAACTAGAGAGAAAGTTGGTCCAGAGCCAGGGGCTTCGTTCAGTGGTGCTTCTCCTGCCTTGTAAGCACAAAGTCCTGAGTTCTGTGCCTGGTATATCAAAGTCTGTGTAAGAGGGTCACTGGCTAAAAGAAGACAGAGTTGTTCACTGCCTTCTCTTAATTTAAGGATAAGCTCATGACACCACTCCAGCATTGACACTAATATGTGCTGATGCCAGCAAGAGCTGCCACATGTCCTGAAATTGATTTATTGAAAGATATTTCATGAGCCTGTGAACTCCTTTTTTCATTCATTCACATGCAAATCAACTATTTCTGATATGTTCCAGGCCCCGTGAATTTGTCACGATGGGTCTCTGTTGGGAATATTAACAAAGGACTTGTGATTAAGTAATTCAAGATAATTATTTAAAAGATTACTAAAAATAGAGCTTCCCTTTGGAAATTTTAACATGCACATTGTAGTGAAGAAGCGGAGAGGCAGGAGATTAGAGCGACTCAGGAGAAATCTGGAGAAAGCACGCTTGCGATTTTTGCAGTGTTTCCCTAAGGGAATGGTGTACTGGCCAGCTGTCAGCCTCTCATGTTCACCTCCGAGTCCCTAGAATGTGGCCCAAATGTACATTTAGAGGCAGACTAGGTGTGGATCGAACACAACTAATATGAGAGCTATGTGAACTGGCAAGCAGAATCAAACACCCTTGTTCAGGACGTTCCTTACACTTGTTAAACACTGACAGCAATGTGCAAAAGAGCAATCCTAAACCGGGCTCTGACTGAGGAGTAAGGGTGATTCAGCGGAGAGGTACCGGCGACCACTAGTGTCCATGTTTGTGTCCCGTTAGTCAGAGGCTAAGTCGTGTTGTACAGGTGTTTTCTAATGGACTGAAATCTATCCATAAATAAGTATATTGCCACACAGAGCTCTGTAATTCTGATGTATCTGTCACACATCCGAATGATCTCTTTCTTCCTATCCTACTTTCTGCTTCCCCTCTAGTCTCTCAGAATTTACAGCTGCACATGCCAAAAGCTGCAGTGACAGCCTTTGCAGGTGTAGCTGTTGGCTGGTACACTTCTGTGGCTGGAGGCAGGTGGTGACCTGTCCATATGGTCTTGGATGTCACTGCCTCAGGGAGAGGACATATACCCAGAGCTGGTCAGTTCTCATGATCATTAGTATCCATACCTACTGCAAGTTTGGAGGATAGTTTGATCTCAAGTGCATCACCTCCTGAAGACCCCTCTTGATTTAAATTCACAATGGAACAGAGAGTTATACTTTCTTTACTTATTTATTGAAACAGGGTCTCACTATGCAGTTCAGGCTGGCCTTGGACTCTCAGCAATCCTCCTGCCTCAGCATGCCTTGAGCTGAGATTATAGGTGTGCACACTTCTCAGCCCTGAGAGTTAGACTTTAGAAGGAAATTTCCGAATTGATGTTTGTGGGGACTAGGCTAACAGGAAAGATGCAGAGGTGGGGCACAAAGGTGACTCATTGAGGACATCTAAATACAACCTGGGATGAAAGTACCCCAAAAGAGAACAGAGCTTCTCTGCAAATCTTATCAGAGACTCGAGTTGATATAGGTAGACTCTATCTAAGACTTTTCTCTGCACAAGCTGCCTCATTTGCACATTCAGTACAGAAACGTTATCTCTGTATTTCCTGGGCAGGAATAGGCTCTGTCTCCTGTATTGTTTGCTTTGTATCCCTGCACTTTTTATGTTCCCATAGAAGAATTATGGGCACTCTGTCCACCCACTTCCCCTGGAACCAGCAGATAACACACTGAAACCTCATGTGACTATGGAAACCTTACGTACCCTGATTAATCTACTAGCAAGAAATACTGTCTCTTGGCCCCATTCCATTTTTCTTCAAATTGTTGTCTTTACCAAGTTTGAGATGACTTCAAGAACTCAACTTATTTTATAAAGTTACTCCCCAGGTCCACATTGTTTAAGCTACCCCTCTGCCACAGCAATTGTCTAGATTCCAGAGCTGATAGGAAGGAGAAAGACCCAAAAGGACGCTCTTGCTCCTAATCCTCATCCTGTAAGAGAGAGAATCCTACTGAGTTGTTTTTCATTCTTCTGCTCTCACTTGGCAGAGATGGATAGGGAACAGAGAATAGGAAAGCCATTAGGTTCTGAGTGAAGGTGCTTAAAGTGAAGTTCCCCCCAGATAAAGTGAATCTGAGTTGATCTTAATTTCTCTGAGTTGGTATATTAGTTTGGATACGTAGCCATAATAAAATACTAGAATATTTATTGGGTAGCTTCAGCAGCTAAAATTTACTCTCATGTCTCCAAAGGCTAGAAGTCCAACATGAAGGTGTAGAGAGCATGGGCTTTTCCTGAGTCTCCTTGGCTTTATATCCTTGTGCGCACAGGGCTGCTGGTGGGTCTCTCTCTTCTTATAAGATGCCAGGCTACTGGGTTAGGGCTCCATCCTTATGACCTCATT